CTATCTCTCCTTGTTGTTCCTTTTTACTGCATTTATACATTATCTCCTTCAATTTTCTTCTATCTCTTTGAAGCATACTGAATTTTAATGACTATGCAAATTAACATTAGCCTTCCCCATCTACTTGCTGGCCTGCTGTAGTTCTCCTTATGCCCTCTCGACATTTTAAGCTTTACATCCAGATGGTGCTGGCTAGGAAAGAGAATTTCTCTCCCATGCAATTTTCATAGGGAGGAAAATGTTCTCCCTAGCTGGTGTGTGTGTTGGGGGAAGGGATTAGAAGGAGGAATTATTTTGGTACTAAGGTTGATCAAATGTTAATAAAAATAGAATTTTAATGTAGTTTAAATACCTGTGAGGAGAAACACAGTGAATAGTACCACTGAAAGAAAAACAGGTTTTTGTTTTAAGCTGTTCCCTACGCAGCAGGCTTCCTGGGCCATCAGGGTGTTCAAGGTTATCAGCACAGCAGGAACCTGTTTTCCAGCTTTGTAGGCAGCTGGCAGGATGCAGGTTTTCCCAAAATTTTAAATCAGCTTTATTTACAGTAGATACATAGCAATGTTTTTTTTTTTTTTTTCTTTTCTGTTGAAAACAGTGGTGTTGTTAGGGCTGAATACTCTAAATTGCCCATAGATCAGGATAAGAAATACTGATGCAGAAAGAGTTCTGTCTGAAGACCTGTACCATTTTTCTGGTAAAGTGATGGCCTTCCTTAAATCTTCTACTTCACTTTATTTTATATATATATATATTTTTTTTTTCTGCACTAAACGTTCCTGGAGCATGGCTTAACTTTGTCTTAAAACAGAAAGATTTGTCTGGCAACAGCAAGACTAACATGAAGATTATGAAGCATTAGCATGCATTTCTTGTAAACAAACTTACCAAAAAGTTATTCTGTCGTAGTGAATAATATTACATATAAAAGAAGATGTAGCAGGCTAATGAAGTCTCAAATCAAGCATATGTTTTGTTGGGAGGTTGAAGGTTCTGCAGACTTCCTGAGGGATACTGAACATCCCTGTGTGCAGCCAAAGATCCCACTCTTCCCACTGGTGTTTAGCAAGCATCAGTGCTTTCAAAACTACTTCATGCCCAAACTCCTTCATGCCCAGCAAAACAGAAGGCTGACTTCAATGTGGCTACTACCAGTGCTTCTAGCCACATAGCTACAGCAGAACAGTGCTCGACTTGCAGAATACCTTGAGTGTCTTGCGAATACTTGGCAAACACCATTGAAGATAACTAAGGGTTGTACACCACGATCTGTGAATATGCTCATCTTCCAAGGAGTGCATCCCGTGTGTCTAAAAGTTGTAAGAGGTTGTAGTTGTCATGAATTCCCCTTACAGACTGGAAGTAGTTCACAATTGCCCGTTTGGTTTATAGCAGTTTAATGAATTTATTAAACAAACTAAATATCTAATGGAAATCCTACCACGCAACTGTTTCTCTTGTTTCTTTTGTTTACATTTGCAGACATGCATTTTCATCCCTTTCTTTTTCCTTGACTTCCTTCTGTGTTTGCAGTCCTTTCCTCAGTTTTTCCAGCATCAGTTGAGAATTGGGAACTGAGGGATATAGCTTAAGCCAAGCATCAAATCATGTGCTTCGGACAGTTGCCAGGTTTGGGCACACGTGGTTAAGATCATTACAAATTTGGCAAGTGCTAGCTTAATTGCCAGTATAAATGCCTTGACCCTCTGTTGCAAGAATTGTACTGTACTTTTATTACAAGCATTAAATAAAATTATGAGACCACTGTACTAGACCATTAGATTATGGCCATTTTCTGGTAATTATATACACATAAGGACAAATAGTTATTTAGCTTAACTTATATGGTTAAATAACTAAGTATTTTAATAAGATTTTTGTACTTTTAAAGAGGACCTTCTTTTCTTTCTCCAAGGTATTTTTAAAAGCTTGTAGAAAATACTGACTTCTGTTGTCAGAGTTGAAAAAAGAAACGTGTGCAGCTACGAATTAAGACCACAAGTCCAAAGACACATTTGATGTCATTCACTTCAACTAAATGCCTAGATAACTTGGCCATTTCAAAATGTTATTCCCATGCTGCGAATGGAAGTGTTCTGCTTGCCTTGTTTCAAATGCCAAAGACTTGACTTTACTGACATCATTTAGTAATGCTTTTGGAGGCTAACATAAAACCTTAAAGCAAAATTGAAATAAAGGTGGAAGTGTATTTTATATCTAAATGCTATTTCTATTTAGGAAATATTGAACCAGGAAGAGTTTTTTAAAATAAAATAATTTTAATTAATAATAATTAACTGACAAAGCCCTTACTTTTTTTTTTTTTTTTTTTTTTTTTTTTTTTTTTTTTTTTTTTTTTTTTTTTTTTAAGCACAATAAATCAATTGATCCTTCATCAGTTAACATAATTTTGACAAACCTACTGGAAATCTGAAGCAAACAAAAGTCTGCTTGCGAGATATAAATTCCAAATGTTAAGTGAACCAGAAAGTCTTCCTTTTCTGCAGCAATAAAATGGGTAAAGCAAACTCTGAGATTAGTTTGCAAGGATTTCGATGAGCACAAACCAACTGGTGCATCACTAAAAGTGCAATCTGAAGATTTTGCGAGTACAATGCACTCACAACTTCAGGTGAAATCATGGGTGGAGATGTGTGGTAGTACTGCCCTCGGTATTCAGCAGGGCAATTGGAGAGCACAGCATTGTTGGCAAGCAGGTTTCTGCCAAATCCCAGCACGATGGGGAGGGGTAACAGGGCTGCAGAGGGATGTAGATCTAGTAGATCTGTAGATAGGTAAGTGCATTTCTGCAGTTTAAGTGTCAATTTCTGTCTTATGGGAAACGAGACTGCCTGCTAGTGATGGGCATGTCTGCAACATGCAGGACCAAACAGCTGCCTTGATACCCACTGAAGATGAGTGTCTTCCACACATAGACCAGTACTTTGTTGTAAGAGAACTACCCTCCCAAATCACTGTGGTCCTGGGGCATTGTATTTAAGTGGGAATAGGTGTACATTAAACACAGATTGTCCTTGTTTATTGCAGCACTTGGTGGGAGATGAGAAAGCATGCTATGTTAGGTTCTCTTTTCTCCCTGTGGAGCCTTCTGTCCTATAGTTTTCCTTCAGTATCCTTGGCGTAGCTCCAACTAGCTTCCTTGATATTACTGTTCATTTTCTTGCCTTCTCTAAAGCAAAGTCTGCCTTCAAAGCAGTCACCTGAAAAGTGTGGCCAGCCCCTCCCCACTGGCTGAACTTAAATGTTATTCTCCAAATAACATCTCGCTTCATCTTCAAGTTTTGTCAGTTTATTGCAAATATACAGATATCTTCAAGAACAGTGCACTCTCTGTAATTCTTACATTTTTCCTTAAGAGTTCATATAATTCCCTTTCATATTTGTAAATGATTATTTTGTATTTATTCTCTACTTCTGAGTATCTTCTTGTCCTGTTCAAGAGGTCAGTGAACCATAACACATTTTTGTTGTGCTGCACCTCACTTCAACTGTGTTTACAGAAACAAGATGAGGCTGATAGTGTTTTAGTGGGAAGCTTTCACACATTAAAGGTGCAGGCTTAAAGATGAGGATGAATTCATGCAAAAGTGAAGTTTCTAGAGCAATCTTTTATCTGCCTGTTTGCATTTCTCCACCAGAAGTGTTCTTCATTTTGACACTGATGCACCTGGGTGAGTGGGAGGGAATATAGTCCATGTTGTAATACAGCATAATGTAGAAAGGAGAGTTGCTGTGTTTGGCAAGCAGAGGTGTTTGCTACATCTAGTGATCTTTTCAGCATTGCAAAGAATACGACCATGTGAAAAAAGATCACTGCTTTGTAATGCTTGCCCTTAATAGCAGAGCCATATCGTAGAGGCTTTTCAAAGACAGTTCCAAAGGTCCATTTGCAGACTGTGTGCATGTGGCTGGCTGTGTGCAGATGGCTAGTTCCACAAGGAAGATCCATAGCTCTCCATGCAGAACAAGAGTTTACCCTGTGCTTGCCAGCATCTCACCAAAGGTATTGAAATTACTGTAAAACCTGCCTGTGATCATCAGCTTCCCTCTGGCAGGTAACCACGCTGGAAAGCTAATCCCATCAATTGGGTTGTGTTCTCCTAGTGTTCCCCGAGGTGAAAAGGAGAACTGCAATTACTTAGGTGCTGCCTTTCATCATCATCTGGCTTCACTTGTGCTGCTATATACCACACACGTGTTCCTGTAGAGCCAGGCATAACCCTAGCAAGAGCATTTACAGTGCTTGTAAATCTTCTGTTCATTCCAACTCTGCATAGCAGACCCATGGCAGCTTTGTTGCTGTCGAAGCTGAGCAATCACATATTCAGACTCAGTTGTGTCTGTCTGCGCATCAGCGAGCATATTGCTGTGTTGTGACTGCTTTGCAAAAACTGATGTGCATTTGAACAAGGTTGTTGTTTTTTTTCCCCTTTTCATTAAATTCTCCTGTGGTACTTCATGAGGGGGCTCATTATTGCAATTAATTGCAAAACTATTTAGATAAATAAGTTGTGATACCACTGAGACACACAAAACATTTGAATGTTGAGCATATGAATAAAAGTGTGTGTGCACGTTTCTGATCTTTTGTTTGCCTAACTGAATAGGGAATACACAGGGAGTTGTGTAATTCCTCATGATTTGGAACGTAAGTCTTTGAATGTTATTCTCATGTAACAGGGCTGGCCAATGGCACAGACAACTGTTATCTGCAATGTATAAATGAAGTGATACATATGTGAGATTTGTGTCTGCATCACTCAGAATGAGAATGTCAGAGAATATCTCGTTTACCTCTGGCACAAAGCCAATGTTGTAGGCAGTGGAGTAAACAGCATGTGGATCTTTTTGTCATGAACATAAAGCCATGTGCCAACAACTTGTTTTGTAATCCGAGTGGATAATGTGCTAGGTAGAGTGGTGCAATACAAAACAAACAAGCAAATAATGATGTCTTCCTTCCGCAGAAGAAGAAAAAAAGCAGATGAACTATAAACAACAGCATCCGGAGTCTCAAAAGCTAAAAGAAATGCAAACAACTGGTGGGTGGCCTGATATCAGCTTGAGGTGAGCAACAAAGGAAACTGCTGGAATAATCAGCCCAGACAGTAAAACACAGGTTAAAAATATGGGAAGTTGTGAAGACATCTGATTCCCACTGTCAAATGCAACTTTTGGTGAGTTTTAATATGCATGGTGCTTCTGAAATTATGAATTTTGTCAAATCCCCATGCTGCTCTTCTGAAGTAGCAGTTTCTCAATAATTAAGACAGTAGTCAGCTCTTCTGTATGAACTGCTTTTTTTCTCCCCTTGATATATATTGCTCAGAAATGATTCTATCAGCTTTGGCTGTAAATCTCAAGTTCACGACAATAGAAATAATTTTGGGAAACAGATGGCAGTCTGAAAGCTATAATATTGGCCATAAAAAATAAAATTGTGACTAGAGTTCAGATGTCACAAATCTTAGTGAATGTGGAAACTGGGAGTGTGCAAAGCTGTATGATATCATCCATATGTATTTTATTTTTGGTCTTATGTGTATATGCAAAGTTAGCTGTAGGTCTGTGGCATATATTATATATATTGGATATAAACCTTGTAAATATGAGACATTAATGTTAAAATGTTTTCTGCTGTTCTCTACAATAGCCTGGGCTTAATGCTATCTGTGACTGGGTAGATATTGGCATCTTAAAATAGTTTAGGCAGATGCTTCAGTCACAAGGGAGGCTGTTTATCATAAATGGTAGAGGGGTGGATGTCATGGTCAAATGGCTAGAAATGGGAAGAAGGTTGCTTTTTGAGAATGCTTGTCCTCTCTGTTATCCCCACTTACCAGTTAGCTTCTCATGGAAGTGTTCCTGTGTTCCCAGGTTGCTGTCATGAATGAGCTCCTTCCTTGAACTTGCCCATAAGAGCACCGTATGCTGCCTTGTCGTACCTTTCTTGGAAACAATGGCTGAAATAAGAAAGTAAGAATCATTGAGTCTCTGAGTTTTCGTTGTTGTTGTTTGTTTGTTTGTTTGTTTGTTAATAATCAGAGAAATATGCAGAACTAGATACCAGAGCCAATGACTTGAAGCCATGAATAAGTTTATCACTTACTCGTAAGTAGGGAGAAAAGTGGTCCAAATCTGTCTGATAAGAGAGACACTGTTTGCTAATAATGAGATGATGTGTCCAGTTTATCTGTAAAATGAAATTTATTCTGTGTTATTGATCTCTGTCCTGAAGAAAGGAGAGGGCCTACTTCCTTCTGTAGGTTGATGTAGGAGGCCACTTTCCATGTTGCAGTCCTGCCTGCCACTGACTGTCCCAGGGAACTGCAGCGCTTGGGGTTGCAGCCGACAGGGAGTTGAATATCTTGGGGAACATCTGCCAGTTAAGTGGGATCAAGCTAATATACAAGTAGCTCTTGAAATTTGATTTTTTTCTTACCTGGAACTAAAAGGGGTGCAGATGGGGAACCTCCCCATCCAGCCTCAGAGCAGGGATAATGTCCCAAGGAGATAGCAGAAACTGTGCATTCCTTGGTGGAAAAGGCACAGACCTTTTCAAAAATTTGGCCATCTCCCAGTTTGAACAATACTGACTTCTAATTGGAGCACAGGAGACACTTGCTGGTTACCTCTGCAGCTCTGAGAAGTGGGCTGAATTTGTGGCTGTTGGCAAAGAACCCAGAGATCTCAGCTTGTCTGGTGAAGTTGAAATGTGGGTTTGGCTTTTCTGAGTTCCTGTTGTCCTCTTCCTTCTCAACTTCCCATTGAAGTTTGGGTTCATTTACACTGATTACTTGATTCACTGTCTTCCTGAAAGCAGAGAAATACCGCTGATAGGCCCTACCCCATGCATATATCTAGGTTTCTAGTTTTCTGTAACAGAGGAGGCTTGAACCAACATTTTTCAGTTTAAAACCTCTAGAAATTGATCTTGACTGTTTAACTTTATAAACAGTGCCTGACAGATGAAAAATTCTGGGTGATGTTTTAATTAATCATATCTTTGTGTATGATTTAGAGTGTTTGATGTCATCTTAATGCTGTGCTGTTGTGGCCAGCTATTAAGATGGGGTAGAGATCTTAGTGTTATTGCTGGAGAATGAATGACAGGGTAGGTCTGGTTGCATATAGGTGTAGTGTATACCACCAGATGATGTAGGCAGTGCATGGTGTGTAGCTTTATAGAAATGGGATGTGACATGCATTTTTGTTATGAATATGTAACAGTTACTGGCCATGTTTCTTTGTAGTCCATGTTGGAAAATGATTTTTAAGGTAAGCAGCAAAAAGAAACATGCGGTTGTAGAAAGTCCTGTTATAGCACTTCTATACTTCCCAGACTTAGTCTTTTTGTAAAGACTTTCCTTAACATAAAGTTTCCTTTTCAGTAATCTGTGTGGCTTTCTTCTAAAAGAACAACGAAAATGCTGTTTGTTCTGATGCTAGTGATGTTCGGTTCCTTCTTAAAATTACACAATTAAGTATCATTTAACTTGGAGATAAATGATTCCAGAAGAACCTTTACTGGGGCATTGAGACTGTCTGGATATTCACAGGATGACAGGAAGATAAGCTTTCTCCTAATTATAACCAAAGGGAAAATCAATGAATGACATGGCGCATATTCCTTCGGTAGGAAAAATTGATGAAATATGCAAATAAATATTGCACTAACATGACCTGAAAGCATGGATATAGGAATACGGGCCTAGAGGACACACTGAGAAAATGAAGGGCAAGTTGTTGGACCATATGTATTGACAGCTGTCTTGTGTTGCATCAGATGTAATACCAAGGGCATCAGCAAAATAATTAATATGTATATAAATCAGCAGACAGAGAAAAGGTAGAAATGCTGTTAATGTAAAAGGTGAAATTGTAAGTACCACTACAGCTGAGCTACGTTCTGAGTAGGAAGAATCAAGGCATTACATTTAAAATGTAGTTGTGAAACAAAGTACATGTATATGCATACACATGAAATAGGATGTAGCCAGAAGGGGAAGGGTCTTACCAAGAAACTTACAGTCCTTTGTTAGCGTCAAGGAGGCTAGCTGTGCCTGTGAGATACTGCATAATGGTGGATTGCCATCATCCCCAACAGAAAAAATAGAGGAAGACACAACAAAAATTTGGCGACACAGTTTGTGAAAAAAAAAGCCTGGAAAATTTTATGGAACTTAGAGGAGGATTAAAAGCTGACTGTGAGGAGCTTTGTCCTTGTATATAAATTCTGTGTACCCAGGAAAATTGTGTGTGCTCATGAAGAAACATCGGTGAATTCAGTGAGCTTCTCAGATTTACATAAACTAGCAATCATGTAGAAGATTTAAATCAATGACAGCATTTGTAGCACCTTACCTCTCAGGTGTGAGCACATGTGATTCAAAATTCCACCCGAGTTTTTTGTTGATGGCAGGAGACTCTTGGCTTACTTTCGTCTATCTAATTAGCAAAGCCAGGTTATGGTTGTTTGAGGGGTATATTTAGTGGTATGATTTCCCTTTTTTTGTAGTTCTCTTTATCAGAAAATTTCTAGGTACCTCTGAAGTTTCACATCTGTTCCAAAGAACTATGTCTAAGTTGCACCACGTTCTACATGTATTGTTTTTATTTTATTTGTATTTTTTTTGTATATACTTGTATTGCATATGTTTTTAACACTACCAAACATTACCAATTTGGAGTTTTGTGTGGTTTGGTGTGTGTTTTCTGTCAGGTGCTTTCTCATCACTTGAGGGAATGACTCTTTTATCTTTCGCTACAAGGTAAATCAGATTCTGCTCTCATTTAGAAACACTGAGATTTTGAGTGCAGTCTATTCAGATATGGATTAAACACCAGGTGCAATTTCATTTAGTATGAAATACTAAATTTCATTTAGTATTATTTTTAAAAATGGGTCCACGTGGTATGGCTTACTCTACCTGTTGTTGGGGCCTCCACATTGGTGAGGAGCTGTTGGAGGAGGGATGGTATCCTTACAAGGAATGGAAAAAAGTCCTTCCACGGGCTCTTGTTTAGGCAATGCGATGGACTTTTATCCCTGGCAGTAATTAGTCTATCTCAAGCACAGGCTTATGGGGTCAGCACATGGAAGGAAGATCTGTTAAGACTACTAGCTCATCACAGGCAGTTAATGAGCAGTGACATAATATCAGAAGCATACTTTTGAGCTGTGAAGGGCATGTGTCTTCCAGATTTTTTAGGACTGTAGAACCCCTCCCAGAGTGTTTTGTGCATTGTTGTTTGTGTGCTGCTGCTTTCTGCAGCTCTCACTTCCTACATCCAAAGCAGTATATGATCCTAGACACCGTGGTGCAGAGGTCAATTTCTGAGGCAGCATAGCATTGCTGGCAGCTGGAAAACAGGTTTTCTGGGTATGTATTTTTTGTATCCATGGATCATCATAATGTTTTTGCACAGACAGGCCTTTGCTCATCAGACATCCCTCGCAAAGCAAGCGGAATCCCTGTCATCTATCATAGGGAAAACTGCTCAAGAATATTTGTTTTACAAATAGTTTTGAAAATATGACTGGGTTGAAAATGAGCAGCGCAAAAATCCATGACATTTGTAATTCAGTTGAAAGCTGACCTTTTAAGGGAAGCTAGGATAAAGGTTTTACTTCTAATCTTCCAACTGTGACTTCCATTCGCCATAGGATCTAACTGCCTGAGAGCTGACTTAAAACCTTCCTTTGGTGAGGCGAAAATAAATACAGCAGGTAAGAGGCAAAGCAGGAAGGCAAATAACGGGAGCAGTTGTCTTCAGGAAAATCTTTGCAAAAGCATCAAGGCTGGCAGACAGCAAGAATATGAAATTGGGGGATTTTTTTTTTTTTGGTAGGAAGAAGGTCTTCTGAAGCTTCTGCTAATGAACGTGATTTAGTGCAGAGACAGCTACAGAGAATAATGTAGGAGGAATTGTGTAACATTTTTTTTCCACAGATACATCATAAGAATTGTGGTAGTACACCTCAAATTTTTTTTTAAACACAACGATTCCCTGAGGCATTAAAACAAGAAGAACAATGTACCCTTATTTGTGGAAGGAATTAAATAGATTTTAAGCAACAGTGCTCTGACCTGTTGAAGAATGCAAACAATTCCTTACAGCTGAGATGATCTAATATTAGTCTAAAGTAATGGCCTGATTTTTTTTTTATCTTTTTTTCCCCCCTTCAACCTGACATCCAGTGATTCTTGGAAAGGATGCCTCTGCAGGATTTCATGTTGCAGTTTGAGCTTGCCTTCTCATGTAAGGCATTCACACTGGTGAATTCTCCAACTGTTTTCATCCTTACTTGATGTTGCAGTGATTTGATGCTGTTGCTTGAAGCCCAGTGTTGGCTGAATGGAGCCTTGGGTACAGCTGTGGGAGCACTGGAGGAATTAAAGTATTTTTGTTTTCCTCACATAGTATTTCCTTCAGCCTGTGTGTCCTACCTTAAAATTTCAGGTGTGAAACAATTATAATTTAATTATTCTTTTGGCAAAATGTAGTCATAAATAAGAGTGTTTCTTCAAAACCAAACTGTGTTAGTATTCAGAAATAGCATTGTGTTTGACAAAAATTATCAATAACTTGAAAAATGGTTTTTCATCTTGCCAGGGTAGTGAAATGAAAAATGTATGTTTCAGCTTTCTGTAAGATTAAGTGAGGAAGAGACAGAGGGAGAGGTTACCATACTGTAAATTTTCTCTACGCAGCAGAAAGAGCACAGCTGGAAGAGGTGCCAGAACAGATTCTCTTTATAGAGTTCTTTTGTACAGTGTGAAGTACAGAAGGAGGATATTATGTTTTTTATGTTTAAAGCAGGCATTGCTTTCACCTCATGTGGAGAAGCCTTTGTGCATTAAAAACAAAACAAAACAAAAACACCACAAAACACAATTCTGTAGGTAAGTACATAGGTTCATGCAGAACTGTATTAATATTCATCCCCCTTTTATATTATTTTGGTGTCTGGA